GAAGATTTCACTCCGCTTTAAACTGTAAAGTGCTCCAAATTCAATATTGCGTTTACTTTGTGGATACTTTTCCCTAACAAACATTTGAATGATATCGTTGAACAGATAATAGGTACCATGATCTACTAATATCATTAAATCGTCCCCCAGATTAAAAATGCAGTACATTAAGCTAGAGACAAAATCATTGTATTTTTGTTTGTATCCACAAGAAAGCATTATATTTAGTAATTTTAACACATTATTTGGCTTTGCCAAATATAAGTATTCAATATCTCAAAGAAACTTTCAATTTCTTAATAATCTGCACTCCATGTTTTAAAGAAAACTGTCTGGCGATAAAAAATTATACTTTGAATTTCTTTTCTACAGGTCATAATGGTGGCACCCAAGGCTTCAAATTTCGGGGCAGACAAAGTTGATACCTGTATCTATTATGACTATTACACAGAAAAGTCAGACATGGAGAAACATGCAGATAACATAATCGAACTTCTTGGAGATCGTGTTAGAAATATTGACGGGTGTTTTACATTCACAGAAGAGGATACACCTATATCAGCTACCGTCTGTAGGAAGCTTCAACTCAGAGGGTTTCATCCGGACGCAGCCCTAACAGTACGGAGCAAGTATAAAACTTATGAAGCCCTCAGATCCAAAATAAATAAAACAAAATACAAGACGGAAGAGTATTCACCCGTTTCTTACCGTATTCAAAGTGAGGAGGACATCAAAGAAGCAAAGAAGATTATCTATCCTGCCATTTTGAAACCCGAACAAGACGCAGGTTCCTGGGGAGTCGTGAAGGTGATATCTGAAGAGGATTGCGAACAACAATACAAAAGAATTCAAAGCATTTTCAGCGCTTCTTCTTTTGGGGAAAGGTTTGGGAAATCGATGGTCTTAATGGAACTTCTCGAAGGTCCTTCCTACAACGTTGACCTGGTCATTTATGATGGTGAGCTTATGGCTGCTTTCATAACTGACATAGGTCTTTACCTTCCAAACATGTTTAATGATACCACCACCTGTATACCTTCTAATCTATCTGCGAAACTCAAGGATCAACTGACTACAGCTGCACATCATTCCTGTTGTAAAGTCGGTTTACTTAACGGAGTTTTCAACACGGAATTTAAAATGACGCAATCCGGTCTCAAAATCGTTGAAATCAATGGAAGAGTTGGTTGTTATCGGAGATGTATTGTCTATGAGACTGTACATGGCGTTAACTTATGGGAAATCGCAGCCACAATTGCCTGCGGAATCAAGCCTCGTTTTCCAGATGCACTTCCGAGATGCTTTGCTGTTGGAGTATATCTATTCAATAAATTCCATGCTAAACAGTTTCTGAAACAAGACGTCCATCAAAAGCTTAGATCTATGGCTGAAGCAAAAGATATTCTGATGGCCATGCGAACTGAAACAGCAGAGGTAGATTGTGAGAAGGAGTTCGCTAAACCTTTCTGCCATTTAGTTGTACTCGACAGCACAAGTATACAGCGAGCGAGACAAGCACTGATACAGCTCTACAAAGACCTCGGGTTCACAGAGAAAGAGTATAACCTAGAACGATTCACCAGTATGTGGGTGTAATTTTACTGTCTCGTCGACGTAAGCTTCGGAGAAATTCAATGAAGCGTAGCAACTTGTTCGACATGTCATGATGATAACATTATTTTTTGGAGATACTAATGATGACTGTACAAAAAACGACGTGAATCTGGCCATCACAAGAGATATAACGTTGAAAATGGAATCTGGGATCGAAGTCATATTTAGCACACCCCTTATTTTAACTTATATTGTTTAATGGACATCAAACTACATATAATTGACAACTTTTTCTGTATCTGAAGATAATTTCATTCTATATAATTTTGTTCGTTTTGCGATTTTCACTCTGTACGCACTTCGGTGATAGTAACTATTTTTCACCTTTCTCGATGTTGTTTTAGAAATAAAAATCGTTTTAAACTAAATATGAAGTGTTTATTAAATACAATTATCATCACATCATGCATCTCTGTTAGTACCACTTGCACTGGGATACCCAAATACAAACATTTTTTTTCTTCGCCTGATGGACGGGATTACTGGTCTTGACAGGACATTAATTAGTTAATTCGGCTGTGAATTCGCCAGGATATGGCAACAAGATGACCAGTTTTACCTGTATAACATATAGGAATGAACTTTCGGCTTAAATTTGATAAAAACATGTCAAGATAATCATTGATTGTCTTTGTAACCAAATAATCATCAAACTTACTTTTCATATCCCTTATTGCTATTTTTCATACTTTTTTATTTTATTTTCTTATGCTAGGTGGCAAATATTGCTTTACATAGATATATTGCTTTTTCTTTTGTGCTTATTAATCATATAACGGTCTAGAGATTAAGCAAACTCTTCAAAAACATGATCATAATAGTCAGTGTTTGTCAACTGTTATCATAAGTTTTCAAATCATTATTACAGGAGGAATTGGATTTTTAAGATCTAGCAAAATTCCTCCCTTTGAGATACAACAATTTATACAATAAATGTTCCCATGCCTAAGGAGTCTTCTTGCCAAATCTGGTAAAAAAAATCCTCTCAGTTGTTAATGACTAGTAGCGTTTTATAGAAAAAATTGACAGGCGACGGCAGGACGATGGACGAAGGACACCGCGGTATCCCTATAACTCACCTTTCCCCTTGCAGGACGTGCGGCTGCCTTCTTTTCTGACAATCTACGTGTATGACTTTCTCTTACGACCACAACGAACCCTGTAGGTAACATCTGTTAACTTGGTCATTATCGGGAATGGGTCACGCCATCTGCATGCTAGCCTGGGACTCAGTCCAGTTTTCACATTAGGAAAGAGCACACAAAAACACTTTCCCATGACGGTTTCTGGTCATGGTTCCGTTTTTTTGTCTTTGCATGGCTTATGGGTATTTTCTCTTACCAGTCTGTGAGCTGACTTCATGGTCTCTGAGTTTCCAGGCCCATTGGTTCTGGGAAATTGCCTTGATGTTCCTGGGCATAGCGAACTGCAAGTCCAAAGGAATGCTAATTTTTCTCCCCAACATCATGAAGTTTAGAGTAAAATACGTTGTCTCCTGTTCTGCAGACCTATACGTCACCGTAACGTAGGGAGGTTGTTGGTCCCAATCTGTCTGGTGATCTTTGACGAAAAAATCTAAGCACAGATACTAAAGCCTAATTGAACCTTTCAACCATGCCATCTGATTTAGGATGGTAGGGAATAGTATGTTTCTTTCTTATTTGGGCAGCATGCTAAACAGAACACTCTCAAATTGCACACCATTATCTGAGTGAACAATGCTGAGAATACCAAAAAGACACACCATTTCTTCGACTAATACCCGTGTTATGGTTTGAGCCTCCATGAATGGCGTAGCTTTCTGTCCATTTGGTGTAATAATCAGATATCACCAACGTGTGTTTCCACTCTTTGCATCGGAGCTCTTTTCACCCCGATTTGGTGTTTCATCTCTAGAACACTGCAGACACCATGCCAATAAAATGATTGTCTGATCTTGACCAGGGTTTTTCTCATACCCAAATGTCAAACAGTTCTATTGTCATGGATATGTTCGAGAACGGTTCGTCTTTCCGACTCCCCGACTTCTTCTATTCAAAAGATTGTCTCCGGTCGCAGTGTTTCGAAGTGTGACTAGAGTGATATTACAGTCATATTGCAACTCTTAATGGTTTTCAATGACTTGGCTGCCACCAATATGTTGAAACGTGCTAGAACAATGGTCGAAGCTATGTCAAATACCTGTTTCAGTATGTTACGGAGTGTTACCACTCTAAAAATTGAACTTTTAAAAATAATTCCTTGATAAAATTGGTCTTGTCATGTTGAATGAACAATGTGAGGTTTCATTTTTTTCAGAATAATATTTTAGATTTGTGTTGGAGATTACTATTTTGGCAGTCTCGAATCTATGTCTACGCACCATAAATCAACTTTACAGGAGGTAAAATTTTCAAAGTGTTTACCTTTGGTCATGATATAAAGGATTTCCGAGTTGGAATTTGCAGTTACCATGACAGTGTTGTTCATTTTGAGACAGGTGTTTAGAAATGAATTTCTTCTATAAAGTTGTAGTGTTAGGTTGGAATTAGCAGTATTTTTGTTTTTTTAGCATTTTTGCAGTTAGTAACCATGACAATCACATGTCAGATATCAGAGGAAATTTCTTATTTACACAAATTTTATCACTCTCTTATTAATGTTATTGTTATGTAGTTTATAAATATATATACATGTAATGGTGTATTTTTCATAACCAAACTGCTAAACCTGTATATCTCAAACATGACCAATAATTTCAGGGAAAATGCAAATTACCTGTTTCCTGCTACATCAGCCATAATGTCTGTAAGACAGTAAATACAATGTAAAATATCAAAATTAGACCGAATTAAATATTCTTTTTAATTGATTAATTGAAAATATTGTGACAGTCATGAAAAGTGGACATGTTGTGATTCTCAATTAAGTAAAGACAAGTACCTTGGTTACAATATAAGTGCACCATGACAACATGACAAACATATTTTCAAATTATCTTTTGCTTTAAAACTCCATCTTCCATAGTTGAAAATAAGCATCAGTTTTGATATTTCGGCAGATTGAAATCATTTAAATTTCAACAAAGTTTATTAGCCTTTAATATGTTGATAGGATCGGACAACAGCCTATGCCTATTTAAGTCCTAGAATAAATATTATGTTGTACATAAAATCGATCCAAAAGCATAAAGCTGATAAGGGGAGGTAACTACAGTTTGCTATGGAATAAATAAAAACGAGAGTACGGTATCAAAAACTATCATTTCCACTTAGCTACAAGCTTTCAGATTTTACTGTTCGCGTTGTGTGGCGTTATTTCACATTGAAACCAACAGTGTAAAAATGGCCGGACAGGAGTATACTACATACCCGAACCAAGTCAGGGGAAAACTAGATGGCAAGACGATTCTTGTGATCGGATCTAGTAAAAAAGGCGCACGAAAGGTGTGGGACATTTAACAAAGGCAAAACTCAAGGTTAGTAACAACATTTGAAGCCGTAATGATATTGAAATTTTAACATATTTAACGTTCGTATCATCCATTTCAAATGAGATTTTTGAAACTCCCAAGAGATTTACAATTTTGTGATTGCCAGAAATCGAGGTTACAAAATTTCCCAAAAGCAAAAGCTAATATTACTCTTAAATTTTTATTTTCCATGTATCTATTTTTGTAGATAAGCTATGTCACGCTTTTAAATGAGGTCAAGGTATATAACTACGGAACCAACAGCCAAACTAACGTGCATCAAATACGTTCAGCTTCACAAAAAAAACTGAATATTTTTCAATGAGATCACAATGAAATATACAAATTATTTATACTTACTGGTAACGAAATATAACTATGACAAATACACAAAGTGGGACATTCTAACTTGCGTTTGCTGATGTACAAAACCTGTTTCAGGATTGTCAAACGCACCGCTGTCACTACTAGTGTCGTCAAAATTACGAAAAACCATTATGTTGTAATCACTTAACGCTTTGATCCGTTCAGCTATTCATGATTGTATGAATGACCACAATAAACCTTTTAAAACTACGGCTTCAGGCCTGCCATTTTCTAGCTACGACATGTACTGAAAACGAAAACACTGAGCTATGAACCAGTTAACTTCATACGCATCGACACTGAAGCAATGAATCGCTTCAATTGCTATGTTATAGCAAGCGTTTATATGGCGGTGGCAACATATGTAAATGCAAAATAGGTGTGAAAAGTGTGTTTTCGTCACTTGTGTACAATTTCTTAAAATTTTGATGTTCTGTAACTTCAGAGTAAAATGTTTTCATTACCTGTTGAAAGGAAGATTTCACTCCGCTTTAAACTGTAAAATGCTCAAAATACAATATTGCGTTTACTTTCTGGATGCTTTTCCCTAACAAACATTAGAATGATATCGTTGAACAGATAATATGGTCCATAATCTACTAATATCATTAAATCGTCCCCCAGGTTAAAACTGCAGTACAGTAAGTTAGAGACAAAATCATTGTATTTTGGTTTGTATTCACAAGAAAGCATTATATTTAGTAATTTTAACACATTCTTTAGCTTTGCCAAATATAAGTATTCAATATTTCAAAGAAACTTTCAATCTATTGATAATCTGAACTCCATGTTTTAAAGAAAACTGTCTGGCGATAAAAAGTTATACCTTGAATTTCTTTTCTACAAGTCACAATGGTGGCACCCCAGGCTTCAAATTTTGAAGCAGACAAAGTTGATACGTGTATCTATTATGACTATTACACAAAAATGTCGGACATAGAGAATCATGCAGATAACATAATCGAACTTCTTGGAGATCGTGTTAGGGATATTGACGGGTGTTTTACCTTCAGAGAAGAGGATACACCTATAACAGCTACCGTCTGTAGGAAGCTTCAACTCAGAGGGTTTCATCCGGACGCAGCCCTAACAGTACGGAGCAAGTATAAAACTTATGAAGCCCTCAGATCAAAAACAAATAATACTAAATACAAAACGGAAGAGTATTCACCCGTTTCTTACCGAATTCAAAATGGAAATGACATCAAAAAAAGTGAAGATAATCTACCCTGCCATTTTGAAACCCGAGCAAGACGCAGGTTCCTGGGGAGTCGTGAAGGTGATATCTGAAGAGGATTGCGAACATCAATACAAAAGAATTCAAAGCATTTTCAGCGCTTCTTCTTTTGGGGAAATGTTTGGGAAGTCGATGGTCTTGATGGAGCTTCTCGAAGGTCCTTCCTACAACGTTGACCTGGTCATTTATGATGGTGAGCTTATGGCTGCTTTCATAACTGACATAGATCTTTACCTTCCAAACGTGTTTAATGATACCACCACCTGTATACCTTCTAATCTATCAGCTGACTACAGCTGCACAACATTCCTGTTGTAAAGTCGGTTTACTTAACGGAGTTTTCAACGCGGAATTTAAAATGACGCAATCCGGTCTAAAACTCGTTGAAATCAATGGAAGAGTTGGTTGTTATCGGAGATGTATTGTATATGAGACTGTACATGGCGTTAACTTATGGGAAGTCATAGCCACAATAGTGTTTCGTCTATGCCTGATAGGGGATAGGCGTCATCGATGCTTACTGCGTTTAGCTGTCGATGGTCAACGCAGAACCTCAGTGCATCAATTTTCTTCCTGACAGGTACGATACCCGAACTCTGTGAACTTGAAGATTTCTTTACCTTTACCTCAATAAGCAAGTAATCTGAATTCAGATCTAGTGTCGAGAAGCATGAACAGCCTGCTAACTGATCTAGTGTTTCGTCTATCCTGGGTAGGTTTAGACGTCATGGATGCTTACTGAGCGTACTGTCGATGGTCAACGCAGAACCCTATCGCACCTTTTTTTTCCAGGCAAGCACGATCGCCGAAGTCCATGGACTTGACGATTTCTGTATCATTTCTTCCTTAAACGTGCCATTAGCCTGTCTACCTCAGACCCAAGATTACCCGGGACCCTTCGTAATGGTCGCTTGATAGGCTAGGCTTTGCATGTCTCTCATGCCTTTTCTCCAGTAGCTGTACTCTATATATCTCTGTTTGATCAGAAAAGCTCTCCTCTAATGAGGTAATAAGTCATCAGTCATGTAGTTATCATTATCAGACCAACTAGTAATCCTCGCATATGCCTCAAAATGGATTTATAATCAATCCATGACGTGGTGCCATCGTATGTAGCGGTTTTAACTATGTTAGGTTTCTTTTGTCTTCCCTGTGCGACAGTATCTGTGTTCCCTCTGTTCCGCTGTCCTTTACTTTTTCTGTAAGTCACAGGATCTGGGTAATCTTAATGGCTTTGCCAATGTTCCAACCTGTCATTACCTATTATGTTTTCTGATGCTCTACTTGAAACGCGCTTGCTATCTGCTGACCTTCCTAAACTGCTAGTACCTAATTAAGTTAAACCATACACTGAGCCTGTGTTCCGAGTCTCAGAATTGCACAGTCATGATACCAGAGTCCGACATGCATGTTGTGCTGCTTGACATTACTCGAAACATCCACCTCCGTACCATCGATCTCAGAATCTTGATCACAAATAGCATTCTTCAAAGATTGACTAATATCATAGGTATACTGAGATAATATTGCATGATCACAACTGATCAGATACTATATTTCAAGCTGACAATGTTCAATATTGTTGTAGTATAAGTAAGCCAAAACCTTACAGGGATCCCGCAACGCTGCCACCAATATTTTGTAACGTGCCGTGGGGTCCGTACCAAGTTGTACGTGGATCCCTGTATACTTAATGGTAGCTAGTAACTTACTATACTATTGCAGCAAATATATACGGATAATGGGATAAGTACAAACTGCACCCACTAAATATGTACAACGTCACATATTTAAATCATTGACCACTATATACAGTATATTTCAGTTCTAACCGTGTGCGGAGTTATTTATACATATACAGCAACGCTAAGTAAAAGCATGTTACACAGGTAGGAGCTTAGTAAATACTCATTAAAAGTTGTCTTTAAAGAAATTAAAAAGTTTCATCTATTTTCAGGTGCAGCAACTTGTGCGCGATACAATATGGAAATGAAAATCGATCATCTTAGCGTGACATCATAACAGATCACGTGGCATTTAAAAGGTAGTGTATAGGAAAACAACCAGTACAAAAATGGCCGGACAGGGGTGTGTTACATACCCGCATCAAGTAAGGGAAAAAGTAGCAGGCAAGACGATTCTGGTGATCGGGTCTAGTAAAAGTGGTGCACGAAAGGTGTGGGACATTTTTATAGAAGATAAAATCCAGGTAAGCTATCAGGCATAATCAACTAAACATTTGCAGTCACAATAAGATTGAAATATTAACATATACATCTAGTTTCGTTCCCATTACATAGGAAAATGATGAAATTCGTAACTCGTAAAGATTTCTTGCACTGATAACTTACTTGAAAATCATAGATTCATTTAATAAACTTCATATGAAATGGACAGTCTTGGAAGATAGTATATTATCATTGGTGTCATTGTTACCTCCCAAGGCCCTACGATACAGGTACAAACAATAAACTACAATTATCTGGTCGTTGTGTTGCTTGCATCTGTTTGGAAATAGAATGGCTTTCTAAAATCTGGATCGATTAAATCATTAGTAAATTAGTAAACACGGATGAATCGAACACTGTTGAATCGAATACTGTGGTTGTGTCGAATGGCTCATTCCCCGAACACCAACTCTGCCAACTTGAAAGGAGGATGTTTATAAAGGGAATCCTTTGATGTTAAAGTTATAGTCTGTTTCAAGTTTCAACTAAGAATGTCAACTTGTCCTTGTAAATAGGATACTTACATATCAATAAGGAAATAGGTAAAGTTTTTTTTGTTGTTTTACATATATAAATGTAACACATTTTTGTAGTATATGAAGTATTACAAAATAGTTATTAATTATTAGTATTTAAAATTGTTATTTATTATTTTAATGATTATCATATAAACTTATATTTAATTGATAAATAAAATTTAGTAAGTCACAATGATACACTGATGTCTGTTATTAAATTGTATTTGTATTACATATATATAATGTTGAAACATTATCCACATCTTAGCATTAAATTAATTATTATCTAATATAAATAGTAAACCCCTAAATGACTGAATTAGCACTATGTATGACAATACATTATCCATTTATCTAGATATTATGTCCTTTTACAACCTGTGATAATCAAGTAATCCATAAGTCCAGAAAACACAAAACACTCTATCCAAGATGCAGAAGCTCGGATGCTGAATCGGCATAGGTCATCAGGTCGATTGTCCCAGTCTGGAAACGGTCCTTCAAGGTGGCCAGGCGTCTGTCAATGTTGGCGTATTTCTTCTTCCGGGGTTGAATGGTGCCTCCTGCGTCTCTCTGAATCCGGCTGATGTCGTTCATGTTCTGTATGTCCTTAAACGTCTGGATGATGGTGTAGATGTTGGGGTGGGCATGCAGTACCTTCTTCAGTTTTCCGTGCCAAGCTTCCAGATGGTTGGTAGTCCGGGGTCCCTCGGTTGAGAAGTGGTTCCAGGTGGTACGATCTCCCTCTATCCATTGTGTGCAGCTACCTCAAAATCGACGAAGGCTGTAGTGGGTCGGAATGGAATGTCGAAGTGTGCCATGTGATCCTGGAGAAGGGTGAAGAAACGGCTGTAGATTGCCTGGCTCTTTCCGGGAAGTAATGCGTATACGACTGGTGTCATGGTGCCTTCATTCTGTAAATGGACGCTGTAAATCTGATGAAACATTGTTGGACAGTTGTAGAAAGTTTCGTCACAGAAGAAGGTGTCAGATGCTGCAAGTTCGGCCAGGTTCTCCGACGAAGCGAATGCGATCATCCTGTTGTTCTGTTCACCGTCGTCAAAGAGGAGAAATGGTTCGCCTGTAGATGCTTCTGTCCATCTTCCATCCAAGGTGATGTCGGCCAAAGTCTTTGGTAGTGGAGGAGTCTGCTTGCGGCGAGCACGGTAAAGAGACGATTTCGCTGTGTAGAATGTTGGTAGTCACTGGACCACGGCCTTGGAAGTGTCATCCCAGTCGAGTTGATTGAGCTCTTCCTCAAAGATGGACGGAATAGGCTGGACCGATTATACGCATTTGTTGGTGATCTGGTTCATGATCTGTTTGGCTACAACACTGGCTGGGTCTGAGGCGTGGGTGTGTGGATTTCTTCCGAAGTTAGCTGGTATGTTGTCGATTGTCGAGAGTGATGCTGAGCAGCCTGAGGTCGAACATCTCCAGAATGTCCTGCCGTTCGTTCTTTCGAATCTGTCTGAAGATGAATCCATTATGTGAAAGGTTCTGTCCGCCTCTTCTGTTGGTGATGAACTTAACGTTGATCTGAGCATTAGCCATACTGTCCTTGTATCAAACAACAAAGATAACAATATCACTCAAATTAAACACAATTTACATAAAAACTGAGAGAAAATACAAGATTAACTAATTTACACAAAAACTGAGAGAAAATACAAGATTAACTAATATATGACAAAAGTTACAATTTACACAAAAACTGAAAGAAAATACAAGATTAACTAATATTTGACAAAAGTTACAATTTACACAAAAACTGGGAGAAAATACTAGATTAACTAATATATGACAAAAGTTATGATTTGACAATATATATCTGTGACAAAAGTACAGTAATAAATCAAGCAATGATTGAGATATTGATCTTTCAAAGTGCAGATTGAAATATGATAATTTCCCAAAATGAACTTGGCTTTTATACATTTCCCATTGAATAGCTTGGGATTTAAACAGATTTAACACAGATATTTGATTCCTTTATTTTACAGTTATTAACAGTTTTCAGTTTTCTGAACAGTTATCAGAATCAGAACTTAATCATCTGATTTACCTGTTTTCTGAACAGTTATCAGAATTTACCTGTGCAAGTTACCTGTACTATAATTCTAAAACAGCCTATAATCCACTATCATCACAGTTGACCCCCTATGTAAACATGTTGCCATATACAGAGTTGGTGTTCGGGGAAGACCCCGTGTCGAATATATACTAACACAAAAAAGAAACGCCGGGTCTATTTGAAACTGTTCAAGTATTCGGATTGATTTTTCAAAGTTTTATTCGAATTAAGCAATTTACATCCATGCCACGATTGACGGAAGTCCAGCGGGGACAGGCTATAGGAATGCTTTTGCTGGGTCAGGGCCAACTTCAGCTTGCTGCACATTTTGGTGTGCATTTTCGGACAATTCAACGTCTTTTCCAACGTGTGCGAGTGACGGGGAGGGTCATCGACCGACCGCGAAGTGGACGTCCGCGCGTCACGACGCCATATCAGGATAGGTTTATAAGACTTTCTCACTTACGTAATCGCCATCTCACAGCTGCCGAAACTGCAAATAACACTATAGGCAGTCATAACCGCCATATTCATCCAGATACGGTTCGAAACCGATTACGCGTCAATTGCCTAAGAGCCCGACGTCCCTATGTTGGTCTGCCCCTAACTCCTGCGCGTCGCCAACGCCGATTGGCTTGGTTAGAAGCACACTGGCCCAGAAATTTTCCTATGAGGCAATGGAGACGGGTATTCTTCACTGACGAATCCCGGTTCACTCTCTACCGTTCGGACGGGCGACGTCGTGTATATCGACGTCGAGGGGAACGTTACACCGACGCGTGCGTCGCTGAGCGGGATAGGTTTGGCGGTGGTTCAGTATGTGTTTGGGGCGGTATCTCCTATGGGTTTAAATCACCCCTGATCGTGATTGACGGTAATTTAACCGGCGTAAGGTATAGAGACGAAATCCTTCGCCCAGTTGCCGTGCCATGTGTGCAAGCACGGAACCTGATATTCCAGCAAGACATTTCGCTAGAGTTTGTCAGCAATTTCTTGCCAACAATAACGTAATCCCAATCGATTGGCCAGCATTCAGTCCAGATTTGTCTCCAATTGAGCATTTGTGGGACGAATTGGATAGGAGAGTTAGGAGACGTCCAAATGCCCCCATTAATCTGGTCCAGCTCACACGTGCCTTGCATGAAGAATGGAATAACATCCCCATTGCAAGGGTTAACACCCTGATGAACTCCATGCATAGAAGAATCAGGGCTGCGACAGCTGCGCATGGAGGACACACAAGATACTGAAATGTCCGGCCGTGTTGCGCAATACAAGTAGGGTCATCGCTAAAAGGGGGATATTTTTGGCATAATTAGCATCGATAATCGATAGAACCTTCAACAAATGGTTCCAAACAGATGAAATTGTATACAAAAATGAATGAAATAATGTAACATTAAATTATATCATTTAAAAGAATCTTTTTAGGTTACACGGCGTTTCTTTTTCGTTTTAGTATATTTTGTGGTCCATCCTTCTAAATCGTACAAAAAAATTCCATGTTTGTGTCGAACATTCAGACGCCACGTTGTCTCAGGTAAAATTTCTTGGTCGGTAACGAATGTGATCGGTTTTGTTTATACAGGTCCACTGGTAAATATCTCATTTTACCAAGAACTATGCGATCAAACAACCATTGAAATAAAACATCTCATGTTTACTTTTTGCCCGTGAGTTGTTATCATGACGCATTTGGAGAACTCGGAGGAGTCTTACGAACTTTTGGCCATGATGACTTACATCTCCGGAAAAATTTCTATCAACTTGCTTAGTGTATTGTGGTTGTGTATTTACTTTTAGACTTCGATGGAGAATATTTGTCTCAACAATACAAATGCTATAAATGTGAGCACAATATGTGTACATGTATTTTTTTAAGTATTGTTTGCGCGAAGTACCCAGTGAACGTGTGTCTTTTGTGCAATCTTGTACGCATAATCCACGTGTTTGTGACAATGATGATTACAGTAACTGTCATTAACCTACGATTTATTTGTATTTTCATAAAAGATAATTGTTATTATAAAATATAGATGTTGTCTTGTTCTTTTCATTAACACCTTCCTATCAGGCACGATCGGCGAAAATAGGGTCAGTTTAAATATACGATGTCTCGATTACAAACGATAGACAAAAACACTGTTAAGTCGAACCATCGGATAAGTCGAATATTTTACTTGATCCCATCGACTTCGACTTATCCGAGGTTTACTGTAGGTCCTTTAAGTTTACAAACTTACAAGCGCAAAAAGGCTGAAACGACGTCAACGGGTATTTATCGACATTGTTAAAGTATCTCTTCATATTTCAGTAATACTGATTAAAACCGTATTGAAACCCGAACCGGATCACTGGGCTCTGATTCGGCGCAGTAGATACAACACAGTATCTGGACATTACTTATAAATGATAAGTAATACCTTCCGGCACATAAACCAAAAAAATAGTTGTGGTACTAGATAATTACAGGATGCGTAGCTCTCTAAAGCTATGACTTGTGTATAGTCCCCATAGACCAACTTGAATCTATTATTTATGTCTTCGATTTGAGAAAAGCATATTCATCCACATCTAATGAAAACCGAAGTTCCCTACCACAACAGTAATGACATTCTACAGCACTAAAATTCCATCAATGAGATCTGCCAGTCTCTAGATCCAACGTATGCTTAGAGTGAAATCAATGTCCCTTAACCGATGTTAATTCATACACACTGAAAACTGAAAAATCCATTCTCCACCTCAATGGCTGAACTACATAAAGCGAATAAATAAACATCGTAAAAATTACATATACATGTGGTGTGAAAAGGGAAACTATTTTCAATACTTTTGAAATGTTTTGCAAGAATTTATTTCTTAAACTTTCTTTCAAAATACAAATTCTCATTTAAACTACTCTAAACGTCTCCAATCAATCCCGGAAAAAATAATTGAGTTTATATTTAGGGTTTTTCCCCTTTTGAATGAAAATGGATTTATCATTGCGTTATGTACAAGAGCCAATGCTATAGGACTGTGAGTTATGAACGAAACTTTTTTTATATAATGCTAATAAATTGCTTAACCTTAAAGAAATTTCAATGTCCTTTTTTTAGTGTTCTGACATGACCTACACGCCATTTTTAAAGAAAACGACTTCATGAAATGCAATTTCATCTTCATCTTGAATTTCTTTTTTGCAGGTCATATTGGTGGCAAATGAAGCTTCGAATTTCGGGGCGGACAAAGTGGATACCTTCATTTGGTATGACTATTACGCAGGAAAGTCAGACATGGAGAAACATGCAGATAACATAATCGAACTTCTTGGAGATCGTGTTAGAGATATTGATGGGTGTTTTACCTTCACAGAAGATGATACACCTATAACAGCTACCGTCTGTAGGAAGCTTCAACTCAGAGGGTTTCATCCGGACGCAGCCCTAACAGTACGGAGCAAGTATAAAACGTATGAAGCCCTCAGATCCAAAATAAATAATACAAAATACAATACGGAAGAGTATTCACCCGTTTCTTACCGTATTCAAAGTGAGGAAGACATGAAAGAAGCAAAGAATATTATCTACCCTGCCATTTTGAAGCCTGAACACGCTGTAAGTTCCTGGGGAGTAGTGACGGTAATGTCTGAAGACGACTGTATTCTGCAGTTTAAAAGGATTCAGAAGAGCTTTGAAGCCGCTTCTCATGCTGAACCATATGGAAAGTCGAAGGTTCTGATGGAACGTCTTGAAGGTCCTTCCTATGAAGTTGATGTGATTATATATGATGGTGAACTTATCGCTGCTTTCGTTGCCGACATTGGTCGATACCTCCCCGATAAAGTTGCCTGCACCAGTATATGTATACCTTCCAGTCTTTGCGAAGAGCTACAAGATCAACTGAAGACAGCTGCGCATCAATGCTGTTGTAAAGCTGGGTTACTGAATGGAGTCTTCAACTCAGAATTTAAAATGACAAAAGCTGGTCTAAAACTTGTGGAGATCAACGGTAGAACCGGTAGTTACCGCAGATGTATTGTCTACAAAACTACATATGGCGTTATCATATGGGAAATTGCAGCCGCCATCGCTTGTGGAATCAAGCCCTATTTTCCATCTTTATCTACGAGATGTTTTGCTGTTGGAATATTCCTTTTCAGTAAGTATCACGGGAAACAATTTCTCAAAGAGGACGTCAAACAAAAGCTGAAAGTCCTGGCTGAAGCAAAACAAATAATCCTTGAAACGCGACACGAGAATGTAGACCCACAATGTGATGAGGATTTTCTCCAAACTTTCTGTCACCTAGTTGCACTCAACAGCACAGGCATAAAAGGTGCGAGACAAGAGCTGATAAAAATTTACAGAGACCTCGGGTTTTCAGAGGAAGAGTTTGACATTGAACGATTAACAAGTTTGTGGTCATAAAAATGACTTATGATTCTATATCAATATTCTAAGAACTTATGTTCAACAAATAAACTAAACATATTGGATAAAAGAAGTCTATTGTATATATGTAGCTTCATATACTGGGGTCAAAATAGTAATAAAACAATAAGAATGAGAAAGTCATTCTTCTTTTTGTCTTCTGACACCTTGAACTAATTAATTACATTTTCCACCATATTACACCTTGACCTACAAAAAGTTCGCTTTCTATTACTTTTCACCATAGACTACCAGATTTTACCTTAACCTACAAAAAGTTCATTTTCTGCTACTTTTCACCAGACTACCAGATTTTACCTTAACCTACAAAAAGTTCACTTTCTACTACTTTTCACCACAGACTACCAGATTTCACCTTGACCTACAAAAAGTTCATTTTCTGCTACTTTTCACCAGACTACCAGATTTCACATTTAATCTTCTTATACTGCTTGTCGACTGTTTTTCTCTGTAATGCTATGGCATATAGCCATGAATCCGACAGATCATGCGTTATCCACACTTCTGGCATGCAGGTCCGATGAGCAATACAAGGTCCATTGTAAGCTCGACCAAATATCGGCTCGCCCGCATGAAATATTTTGCATCCTGTAAAATTCCTACACCAACCACGTCCGTGAATCTGGACCTTTAGAACGTATGTATCGAGCAATTACTAACCTGGACATTACGGAACAAAATTTGTTGATAATCAGTTTCACCTTTCAAATGTACATAGCTTTCATTGTTTAAGCAATATTTTGACATGAAATAAAAAGGATCATTATATACTGGCGTTGTTTATAACATTTTAAATGTCAGTTGTGGACATTTTACAACCAGCTATCTGCAAACACTTGGCTTAAAACCAGAGAGAGATTTGAATGTGTTTTTCATGTTTATATCAGAGGCAAAAATATATTCCAAACACAAATGACGGTTTGAGTAGCATTTTATTACAATTTAAAAAGACTTTTCAAAAAGTACACAAGATAAAAATTCATTGCAGCTCAATACATATTTAGTAAATGTATATGAAAAGCTAGCTTTAAGTGAAGATATAATTTATTCTTTTCACAAGTGCTCATTACGAACATGGTGAACAAACAATTAGACCATATACAGTGGACCCTCGATAATCCGGAAAACTGCAATCCGGACGGAAAGTTTCGGAAGCGGATTTCTATCACGTCATTTGTACTCATCAGTCCGGACAGTCGAATTCCGGCTCCGGGAAATACGTTTTGGGAACGGAATAGCCCTTTTCTTTATAGGATTCCCCCGATAGTTTGGAAAGTCATGTGGCCACATGGAGAGTTTTGACGCGCTCAATCAGTCGCGTCAGGTGTATACCCGGTTGATCGCTCGACACTATGCGTAGCCATGATGACTGCTGCCGGATCATCGCCACGGGTGATCACCTGTGTAGGTCGTGTCAGTTTTTATACAGTATCGCCAAATAAATACATCGTAAAGAGTATCTTGTTTTATGGCTTTTGAGGATTAACCCGATATCTATTCACAACAACTTTGATTTTTAGTTTTGGTCTGTATTTTGCATACTATAAAGATACAATAATAATAATAATAATAATAATAAATTACTTTATTTAAGAGTCGATAACACTTTGAGTACAAGACTCTTCTAACAAGTGGTCGACAGTAAAATGTACAATATATACAACATTAAGATTACAACATCACATATGATATAAAAATCACAAATATCACAGTAAACTAGCATAATCATGAAGGACTAAGATGTACATCAATAAAACAAATGTAATGATAAAGGCACATTGTGAAGAGGTATAAATAACGGTTATAGAGTGACTAGTAATATAATAAAAGGACTAAATTAACGAGGTTTTGTAAGGGATACAGGACTGATAATTAAAACAATTAACTGGCAACATTCATAAAGGTACCATACTATCTTAGGGCTAAAATAAGACTGGCATAAAAATGTGGATCTAGGTTGGTAAATTAGAGATGAATTTTTTACAATGAAATTTAAAAGTTGGTAAGGTTCCGCATTGGCTGATATTTACTGGAAGCTGATTCCACAAAGTTGGTCCAGTATATAGGAAGGAATTTTTAAACTTTTCAGTTTTGTGTTTAGGTATGATATAGTTACCAGCAGTAGATGCCCTACAACTAGTGAGGAAGTAAAGGTTACTTGTCAAGAATTCGAAATTTAGCTATTACGCTCGGGACACGGTCTATCAAACTAATACATGTTTAACAGAATTTACATGGCGAAGATATTCGTCTTCACATATCTAGGGTAAGTGATAATGACCATGGATGCATACAATCTTACATTTAGCTAAGGCTGAAGATGTCGATCCTTTTACATGCTCCTTCCTAGTCACCAGTGAAGCAATATATATATATGTGTAGTATATTTATTTAAAGTATGAGGCGAAAAAAAAAAGATGGAAATTTTGCGATAAAACCGGAAGAGTTTGTTTACCTGGTGCATTTGTTTACATGTAAAACTGAAAGAAAATGGAAGTGATGTTGGCTAATGCTATTAGGCCAGACAAAATAATGTAAGTCGGGAAAACATGCGAAACAGTAAGTTGGTAGGTGTAGCTAGGTAGACAGAAGGGGGTGTTGGTGTTTAAAAGAGATATGAAATTTGACTTTAACAGTGCTTCTTAGAAAATATTGGCTGAAGAAAAATCGGCGTACACACAAAATATACAGGTAGGAAGAGTTGCTGCAATCACAATTTTTGTTTTATCTTCATGTATTATGGGCTATTTGTATATGCCATGGAGAATATACTGATGCAATGCTAATGCATGTTATATTGTTCAGTTTTCCTAATGAAGAATATAAATTAAAATATCAAAGCGAAATGACTTATAAAATCTTGAAGAAGAAATGTGGGGCAGACACAAGTGATACTTTCATCTGAACGATATCTAATTACAAATAATTCTATCTTAGAGATAACCACTATGATATAATGATCAGGGTCATCCACTGAAAGGTTGAAAAGTCTAATATGGTGGAGTATAACTCGTACGTAATTATTTCAACAATTTTAGTTTGCGTATGGTATGTCATTTATTCAGCCTGTACATAGACATAGGTTTTATAAATTGTCAACATCAATTAAGTCCAAACTGGTAAATTGAAATGATACCATTACCGGTAATTGTGGTAGCAAATCAATGATAAGCATTTGATTTTCAAAACTGATGTTTTTCTTTTCACAGGTACTCCATTCACAGCGTCCCAGTCAGACAGCACTTTCACCATGGATCATCATCCAGACAGATGGCAGAGTTCTCTCCGCCCATTGTACATGTATGGCTGGCCTAGGGGAGACATGTACCCATGTTGCTGCAACTCTGTTTGCCATAGAGGCATCTGTGAAGCTGCATAGTTCGAGGACAGTAACACAGGAGAAATCATATTGGTTACTAGCATCAGTTAGAAGTGTATCTTATAGTGACATAAGCAGCATTGATTTTACTTCAGCCAAGACATCTAAGCGGAACCTAGACTGTAACTTAAGTGGTACACCTGTCCCTCGAAGAAATCACTATGTCAGACCCCTTCCCAGGCCAACTACACTGGAGAAGATGAATTTTTATAAAGCACTACACAATGCATGCCCATCTTCTGGTATTCTGAGGCTTGTGTCACCATTCAATGAACAACTAGTTCCAAAGGGCCTTGACGGTAAATTTCCATTGGTGTTGACAGAACTGATAAATGAGGAAACATTTCCTATGAATTATGCTGAACTGCAACAGCATTGTGCAACCATCAAAGTGGAGGTGTCTGAGAGAGAGGCTATTGCTGTCGAGGAGGCAACACGTGACCAGTCAAACTGCAAGTTGTGGAATAAATTCCGAAGTGGACGCATTACTGTCTCGCGCATGAAATCAGCATGTCACAGTCTACCATCCAAGCCATCTCGAAGCCTGATCAATGCTATTTGTCATCCTTCAGATGTTAAATTCAAGACAGCTGCTACTGAATGGGGATGTTCACACAAAAAGAAAGCCAAGGAAATTTACACGCAGGCTATGTGCTTAGTGCACGAGAACTTTAGAATCAGAGATTCTGGCTTCTGGATAAATCCTGATTATCCCCTATTCGGAGCCTCCCCAGATGGACTGTGTTCATGTGACTGTTGTGGTGAAGGGCTTGTCGAAGTTAAGTGTCCCTATTGTGCAAGAGAAGGTGGGTTAACTGACAATGCTGGGGAATCAACAGTCTCATGTTTGGAAATGGGTGATGATGGACTTCGATTAAAACCCTCCCATCAGTATTTTTACCAGGTCCAGACACAGATTCATGTGACAAAGAAGATTTCTGTGACTTTGTTGTATGGACAGAGAAGGAGGTTCATGTTCAGCGTATTGAACCAGACAAGGCTATGTGGGAAAACATCTGTGAAAGGGCAGGAAATTTTCACAAGATGGCAGTGATGCCAGAGCTTGTCAGCAGATTCTTTTCAAGAGTCCACCAAGAGACCCTTACAGAGCTTGTCTCCAGTGCTACATCAGCAACCAGGCCCAACACAGAAACCACAGAACTCTTCTGCATTTGTCAGAAACCAGAGACTCTGAACATGATTGCATGTGACAATGAAAATTGTAAACTACAATGGTTTCATTTTGAATGCCTAAAGATTAGTGCAAAGTCCATACCTAAAGGAAAGTGGTTCTGCCATGACTGTGCTCAATTACCTCAGTTCCAGAAAAGAAAAAGAGAGTAAGGGAAATAAATAACTATATTTCATTATTGCTATGATTATATGCAAGAAATATACACTTCTCTATAAGCTTATAGTCTTCCCAATAGGAGTCTATATTAAATATACTGTCAAATTATTAAGCGATGGACAGCTAGCAAAATGGTAATATCTTGACCATGGTCAAACAGAGATTGAATCATAAAATTAAATTTGTGTGATAAATCTGTGCAGTATGATAATTAATTTTGACGTTTGTATTTCAAAAAATCATTTT